CTTAGTACCCAGCCATAGACCACGTCCACGAGCCATGATGCCTATCGACAAACACCACGATTCATAAGAATCGACTGACGCTTTGATACCATCTGACACAGTTGAAAATTACTAGCAACCGACACCAGGCAAAACAACCATATTTTAGAGACAAATGAAATATTGAGAAGTAATCAACAAGAAGAAAGCACAAACGTGGGAATTCGAATCCACCACGCACCACCAAAGCACAAAAAAGAAAAACCCACAAAAATGGCGCTCTCTCTCTCTCTCTTCAAAAAGCTTTTTTCATTCACCAAAAAAACTCTCATTGCATGGTTACATGCTTCCTTTTTATACGCTTACAACTTGCTTTTGAAGACTCCTTACAAAAATGGAAGTCCTTATCCAATCTCACGTGACCCATGTCCTTATCCAAAATAAGGAAAGAACTTATTCAAATAAAGAAAATACCAACTCAACGCATATTTACTATAAAGGAAACCAATTTGCTTCATCTTCCTAAAAACATTCAACAAAATGGACTCATAAGAAAAACAAACTTATCCGCCTTTCTAATTAAAAGATAAGACTATCCTAAGATAAACAAATGGACCTCGTAAAGAAAAGGACTTTATCAACTAAACCAAGAAAACTCATACTAATCCTATTTCTAAAAAATGAACCCTAATAAAAAACTAAAAAGTCTACCCACATCTCTAAAAATAAAATTAATAAAATTAAAATTAAAATTTCGTAGCAACCATATCTTGATCTGCATGACGCAGCTGAAAATTACCGGCTGCCAACAACCGGCAAATACAACTGCATTTTAGAGAGGGAAACAAAATGTTAACAAGAAATCAACAAGAAGATAGCAAAACGTGCAGATCCGAGTCCTCTGCTATGCTCCCACAAGCACAAGAGGAAAAGGAAATAACCCACAAGAGGGCCTCTCACTCTCTCTCTACAAAAAGCTTTTCTCATTCACCAAAAGATTCTCATTGCATGGTACATGCTTCCTTTTCAACAGGTTATTAGTAGTCTACTAGTCTTACATCACTGGTCTCATAGAATCAACTATAACGCAATCATATACAAGGAGGATAAGTATCTATCAACTTCCATCCTCCAGTGCACTCTAATTAATTTGGAGGGACCTTTCTCCGATGAACGCATTACTTAACAAAAGTCAAAACCTAGCAAGACTTTCTTTTGGAGCACACTTCTAGGCCTTCAACTTCAACCATTGTCGAGGCCGCACATATCGTCACAATCTTTTGGGCATCTAACTTCAAGCCTCTGAAACATATTGCAAAATCAAATTTCAGTTCTCATCGGTCAGACATAATCAAGTTTACACCCCCAAAGCCCTTTTGCTCTTCCCATCGATGTCCATCCACCAGGGACACCATCAAATTAAACTTTGACAGTTGCTCGTAGGGAAATGCAGGATCATGTAGTTATGGCGGAATCTTCCATAGATTGTTTTCTTAATATCCTTTTCTCATTCACTGGCTTCCTAGGCACCAGTGACTCCACCTACACTGAGGCCAACGCTTTGCTCGAACGTCTCTCTCGGTTTGACCCCATTAGGGGGGAATGATCTCATCACAAAATGGGATAATGTCAATATCATTCTTTGGGCCAACAAGAGAAGTCAGTGTCCTTAGTGTCACACTCGCATTTTTCACTCTATTTTTCATTTGTCCAGGCAACTTTGAGCCAGCTTTCATCACATTTGATGGGAGGCTAACACGAAAGCTGGCACTTTGGCAAAGGAGTGAGACAACTTCTGGGGGCCCCCATTAACCTCATGACTTGCTTCATTTCAACATCTTCATCATGTTTTTGTGTCTCTCCTTTTCTTTCTCATCTTTCCTTCTTTCTAGCCTCTTTTTCTTATCCCCTTCTTCCTTCATCTCATATATTCTCCTTCTTCCTTCATTTTTGTTTTTGCAGGTATAACCCTTCAAATTCTGGTATTTTGGACACAAAGTTTGGTCATCTTTGAGCACCTGGTTTGCAGGGCTAAGCCCTCTAACTTTCTATCTGTGAGCACCAGGCTTGTGGGTGGCCCCCATGCATCTCTGACACACACACTCCTCATTGGGGTGCCTTCTTTTTCTCTCTTTCTTATTTCTTTCTTAACATGTATAGTTTGTATATAGCACCCGAGCAGGTGGTTTTCTTTCTCTCCTCTAGCTCTCACATCTCCTCCTCCCCTCTTACATTGTGCTTGAGTGGTTGAGTACCTAGCTTGTGGGTGGCCCCACAGGGCCCCCCCTTTCGACACACACTCATCATAGAGATGCCTTCTCTCCACTCTCCATCCTATCACCATTTTGTTAAGTATTGCTCTGCCTTCTCTCTTCCTCTTAATCTCTCTTCTAGTTTCAATAGTTTATCTGAACTTCTCTGCCTTTTTCTCTCTATTTCTCTTTACCTCCCTTGTCACTTTCTCTATACTAGTATGAGTGGTCGAGCACCGATCATGTGGGTTGCCAACCACCCCACCCCACTCCTTGATTCTTTTTGTTCATACAAAAGCACTTATTGTATAAGAGCACCTAGCTTACGGGCTACACTCTAACTTCTCGTGAGAAGCTTCGTATTTTATCTCTATTTAGTAATATATTGTGACTATTATCCAAAAAAAAAAAATCCAGGTGGCTTTCAAGATAATTCTCTTTTGTTTAAAAAAAAAAGATTCTAAATTTAGACCATCAACACCAGTCTCAGTGTCTGCTTCTAGCTGACAGAAAATGGCCATTCCCTTTATTCAACCTATCATCCGTTGAGGTTCCCTAGGTCTAAGGGACTCGCGTTACACCTTGCTTGTTGATGTGCCCTATCGGCCTATCCCCCTAGCAAGTCAACTATGTGCGCAACATCAATTTTTTGGGAACATTATTTGGAATTTAGTTATTAGGATATCCTTGCATGGGTGGCGATCCCACACAAGAACACGACCCCGAGTAGGATCTCTAGGAGCTTGGGTCTGGTCACAATCTCTCAATGGGGAAGCGCGATCTCAATTCAATAACAGTTGGTCAACAAGTTAACACATCCATATCCTCTACATTTCTAAAGGAAAAGAAGCAATAAATGCATATCAATCAAAAAAGAAAGCAATTAATGCAAATCCATTGAAAAGAAAGGAATAAATGGATACCAACAATAAAAAAGTAATAATTATTCAAATCCAAGTTCCATAAAACTTTCTAAGGGAAGATATTCTTAAATTTGCATCAATCAGAAAGTGAGCTTTAAACAATGCTCCTAAAAGCCACATTTAATATAGGAATGGTGGGTCCAACTTTTTCATGAATTGTTGTAAGATTTCGAGGTGTTTCATCTTTCATAAGAAATTGCTACAAGTGAGTGATCTGTCTCCTTTCTATCGCTTTTTCTCTATATATTTGTTCTCTCTACCTGATGCTTTTTTTTTCTAATTGAAATAAAGAGGAATACGTGAAGACAAGGGTAGGACTTCTATATGATTTCCGCAGATTATTATCCTTTATTAACATTTAAAAGATCAAATAAATATCTTTACTGTAGTTTTGTAGAAGACTTATATATGATAAGACTCAAGTAAATAAATACGAGTTATTACTCACAAATCTTATTTGAGTAAATTTAATGATAAGTATAATAAACTCATATTCTTAATTTATTTATTTTGCATCTACATAGTATTTAAATAAAAATATCAACATTTTATTTGGAAATAAATTCTCCATTTTTATATATTTATTGTAGGAGGCTACCAAACTAGGGAACTCCAAGCAAGCAATGACACCCCACCCCCCTTCTTATTTCCTCTTCCTCCTCCCCTTTTCTCCCACCTCCAAAACTAGGCATTGGAAGAATCTATTAGCCCACATTGCCAATTGTGTCCCCATTACCTTCCATGCCTAAATGTGTTTCGTAAAACATTCATAAAGGTGCATAGATCTGTTGCCATTTAAAACAAGATGGACCTTTTCCACTAGGAATGAGAGGTCCACAAGGCATTCTAGCAATTCATATTGCATTGAGATGTTGCTCAAATCCCCAACCACCCCCCCCCCCCCCCCCCACCCCACCGCAGAAAAATAAAGGTAAAAACCAAAAGTATATAATATACACCATTTTGCAGGTATCACATAATTTCAGCAATTTGATCTGACATCAGCATTATACTTTCCCAATTTGGATTTCTCATCACGTACTAAATCATCAGGTCTTTCTAAATTTAGGGCAAATCTACTATTTCAGAGAACAGGCAGCTTGGGAGAGCAACTTTTCTTTCCTAAGGATAACACATCTTTGCTCAAAACATTTTACAGTTAGGGTTAGGGAAGCATGGGATAAAAATATTTGTTACAATTTGATATTTGGATACATGATGGGGTTTTCTACGCTATGGTTAGGGAAGTTGCAGTGAAAATTGGAGTGGCATCGTGCATGGGGGCTTAGGCAGACTCGGCCAAGTCGGACTGTTCGAGTCGGTGACTTGGCTCGATCAACTCAGCAAATAAAAACAAATAAAGCAAAGGAAATAAATAAAAATTAAAATATTCAAATCAGATCATTCGAATAACAATGCCTTTATAAGAACTTTTTTTTTAATACATTTCTTAGGCCTATTTGGCCGTGTCCTAAGTTTGGGATAAAATCAAAGATGCCACCTGTCAGTCCCGAATCGGCTCAGGCGGTTCCAAGTCGAACCTCCAATTTTTAGAACAGTGATAATATTTTCTCAATAAAAGTTACTACCTTTAGTCCAATAAAACATTTGCCCGTTACGTTGCAAATAATGTTAAATTCCTTCCAAGCACAATAATGGATAAAATGAAGTAAAGGAAGCCCTATAATTATCAAGATAGAAAGAAAAAATTCAAAAAATTCAAGATAAAATTCTGTACTTTAAATCTTCCACACTAAGTCACATGTTAACAGCATTAAGAGGAATGCTTTTAATCCACAAAACAATGGCTAACAGCATGTGCATTATGGGAATATTGAATTCTAACCTTGATAGTGACTTTGCTCTTCACTTGGGTTTCTAGAGCCTCTGTCATTGACTTCAAGAGACAAAAACAGGAGAGTATTTATATGTTATAGACAGGAATGAAATCATTGAAGTGAAATTAGATGAGTAACTTTATGAAAGAAAGGGCACCCCAATCACATGTTTGCAAAAAATATACCTTGTCAAATTGCACTAGCACTTGAATCGCAAGCTCAGGACTAAGTGTCCCATTAGAGACCATCTCATCCAAAGTTTCAGTTAAACACATCCCAATGGTCGATCTTCGATACAACTCGAATGTGGCCATTCTTACTCTGTGGTACCTAAGTCTCCACATATAGCACGTTCATAATTCATTATTAAAAGACCATTTGCACATTTCCTCTATTATTTTCATGGAACTTATGTAATAGTACAAAAAAAAAACACAAGAACTCCTACTTTGAAGAAGTAAAAGGAATGATACCTAATTATGGAAAATCAGCACATTGAGGTTTCTCTCTGTACAATAAAGATTGTTTTTTTTCACGCTCGAATTGGGAATCAGGTTTCCATGGAGTCATGATCACGAAAATGGGAAAAATGACTAAGAGCTCACAGAGATCTCTCAATTCAATAATAACACGCCAGAAAAAAAAAAACCCTAAAGACTCATCTGAAAATCAGTGACCACGAGACTCAAGAAACCTCTGGTAAACTTTAACCAAGAAAAGACAACAAATTGCATGTTTTAAAAAAACATCAATTTCTCTTCAAATTTCCCCATATTTCAGTCATTATTTCCGACCTTTTTCCAGTTCATTTTTACAGATATTTGGTCAACCTTCTCTGAGTTTTTCTTCGAGCGCAAGGACTCTCGAACTCTCATCAAAGAATTGTTACGAGAGAAAAAACATAGACCCATTAAATCATAACCCATTGAAGAAGATTGAAATCGACAAAGAAAAAATCTCAGAACACAAGAAGAAGATCAAAAAAATCGCAGCAAAATTAGAGAGAGAAGAAGCAAGAGGAAGTGTACGCCATGCGTTTATATATAGAGCGAAAAGGTGCTGGGTTTTATAGGGTGATGGAACTGACCTGTGATATTTGAAGGTTCGCTTTCTCTCTCTAGGCCTTCTCTTTTATACTGGGACTCAGATTAAGAGCGTACATATGGGAGAGAGAAGCGAGGTTTATATAGGTAGGTAAATGACCAAAACACGCCTATAGTCGGCTAAAACGGACGAAAACAATCGTTTGCTTTTTGTATATGACACTCAAGCCCTTATAATTTTAGATCGTTCGTACTATTATAAGAAAAAGTATATATAGTGCCTAGCTCTAGCTTATCTCAAAATTTTCACAGGAAGAGGTTGTTTTTAATGCTCAAATTCATCATCTTGACCTGAAGATTTATGGGCATGAGAAAACATATGGATTCAAGTTTTGAAAAAAGTTCATCTCGTAACGCATTTTTAGATTTTTAATTTTTAAGATTTTTATAGATATGCTCGATCTATATTATTTTAAAGATTTAAATTTTATAATTAAAAATAAAAATATATTTTAAAGCTATCATTTTCAATATTAAAACCACATTTCTTGATATTATTTGAAGGTGCACTTTACTTCAATTGTTTAGAGCCTCAGCTCTATACAAATGGCACCCGTTTTTATAATTAACTTTGCTAGTGAACTATCTATTGTTACACAGTGACCTCAATAAAATTAGGAAAAAAATTATATAAAGTTGACACCTTAAAATGTAGAATTAAGGTGCACCTTTAAATACTTCGAAACTTCTATTTTGATGTTAGAAAAATATCTAATTGATCATTCTGACATCAAGTTGTATAAATATAAATGAAAAAAAGAGATCTCAAGTCTTACAAATAGTATATCTTGAAACACATTATCTGGACCTTCTATTTTTTAATATTTCTATGTGTTTATAGATAAGCTTTATTTGCATCAGTTTTTGGAGTTTCAAATTTTATGGTTGTAAATAAAAATAGATTCTCACACCATCTTAAAAAAATTTTATACCAAAATTGCATCTTATGACAAAGTTTGAAGATGCACCTTAATTTGATTGTTTAAGATTGCAATCTTATTCAAACCATACCCAGATTATTTTACATATAGAAATTTTTTTGTATACTAAAAGTTTTGGATGTCTCCTAAGAGGCATATTTTACATATAGAAATGTTTTGATAAGGCTGCACCTTTATCAAATTAAGTAAAGCCTCACCTCAAACTCATTGAAAATTATGTTTTGGCGTCAAAAAACTTTCAAATTGATCATCTCAAGCTTGAATAGTATGGATGTGAAAAAAAGTAAGACTTCAAGTCCTAAAAATAGTATATGTATTGTAGCACATTATTTAGGCCCTTCATTTTCCCCTAAAAACAAGTGTTCAAGATCTATACTATTTTTTAGCATAAAATTCATAGTCGGTGTTGAAAATTAATTTTAGTGCAATCATGGAGATTCTCAATATGCTTTCCGGCCGATAATTTAAGGTGAGGCTTTGCTTTGTTTTCATAAAGCCTAGACCTTATAGAAACTGCATCTTTTATACACGTGCTTATCTTATGGGTGTGGTTTGAATAAGGCCGAAGTCCTAAAAAATAAAACTACGGCGCACCTTCAAATAGTGTTGAAAGATGTTGTTTCAATATTGGAAATCTTTGTAATGGCTTGAAATTTTATTTTCATCTCTAATTATAATATTAAGCTTAAAAATAGTGTAGATCGAGGGAATCTATGAACACTTGAAAAACTTGAAAATTGATGGTTTGAAAATGCATTACAAGATGCAATGTTTACAAGACTTGAAATCTATTTTTTTTCATGTCTATATATCTTGAGGTTGAGATGATCAATTTGAGAATTTTTGAACATCAAAACAACTTCTTTTAGTGAATTTTATTGTTTAAGGACATGGAAATGGTAGGTGGAGGGGGATGACATCATGCAAACTTAAGAGAAAATATGAGGTGGAACATTTCTAAATTTTTCTTTTTTGAGATGTTAAGAGTGGAAATGGAGGGTGGGATGTTATGCTGGGGCGTAATGTTTTTAAATATTAATTAAATTTCAATCAATAAGGGGTAGGAAAGTCGAGTAAAAAAGTATACATGCTCAGCCTCAGGCTCATATCGATTTCGGCATATGAGATGTTAAGAGTGGGAATGGAGGGTGGGATGCTATGTTGAGGCGTAATATTTTTAAATATTAATTAAATTTTAATCGATAAGGGCCAAGAAAGTCTAGTAAAAAAGTAGACATGCTCAGCCTCAGGCTCATATAGATTTTCGCATAGGAAAAATGTCCAAACCAATATTGTCAGATTCTCTTCGGAGTCTTCTTAGGTTTGGTGAGAAAAACAAAGCAATTTGGTGTTTCAACCAATTCAAAGGAAGATTTCATACTTCTTTTCTTAATTTAATAAAAATAAATTAGATATTTATATATATAAATAATAAAAATAATAGATTTAAAATAATAAATTTAAAAATAAAACAATACTTTTATATAGGTATCTATTTGATTCGGCTGAATCAGCCCAAAATGGCAACACCAGGCTTCACTTCGCTTTGGTTTAGGCCTAAAATCTAAAGACTTCAGGCTCTTCGGCCGAAGTAAAGTGAATTTGATAACACTAGTCAAAACTATATTTCAGTCACTCAAGAAGCACAATCGGCAATTAAAGCTTCATTTTTTACTATTTACTCTTCGGTCGAGAAATTTAAAAAATTTGATATTATCTCATTCCAAATATTTTTCGTAAATACTATTTTTTGGATGAATACTTCTTATAAACCATTAGATATTATAAAGTATCAGAGCACCCTCTGTATTAGTTAAGTTGCCCTTGCTTTTCTATCAATATATATTGTTTCCAAGGATTGTATACTATGAGATTATTTTTGGTATAAGGATGTCACAATTGGTACTAGTCATTAAATGTCAAACAGGATGACTTGGGTTGAGTCAAAAAGTTCAATTTTTTTTTTTTTGAACTTAGAATCTAATCAATAGTGCACTCACAACCATCGATTTGAAATCTGATTAACAAAAGTGATGGTGACCTCTTTTTATTAGAAGTAAATAGTGTCTTTGTATACTTTCCCTTATTTCCAATGGTTTGAAAAAGCATAGGAGAAAGAAACTTCAGATCAAAAAAATGCAAAATGTATTAAAATTGAAAGATGAACTATTTAACATCTTTCCTTTTGCTTTTTTTGCTTATATAGATTGATTTAGGTTCAAAATACCCATCAAACTACATATAATGACAAGTTGGGATAAGGACAAATATATAAAATGTTAAATGGTGCATATCTCATGGGTATCCTGATAAATTTCCCTTAAACATAGATTCAAGCGCTTTTTTAGAAAAAACCAGAAACCTACAAGATAAAATTTTTAAGACTTTGGCCAAAGGACACGGCTTTGGAGAAATGTCAAATGTCCATCTTTAAGATGGATGTGCCTCAATAGTGCTCAACGCAAGAAAGATGTTCTCTTTTTTTTGTAGAAAGGAAAGACCTGATCTCTTGCTTCTCCAAGAAACTAAATTGGAGGCCCTGACTCTATATTCTGGCAGATTGGTTTGGGAAATAGCTCCCTGGATTTTTTTGGGAGCAGATGCTTCTACTTTTTCTGGAGGTATTTAGGTCCTTTGGAACACTTTAGTTTTGAATGCTTAACAAAATTTCCTTTTAAGTAGACACATTTCCATTATTTTTAAGGGGACAAATAATTTTTCTTGGTATTTATCTATGGTTTATGGACCTAACAGATCTGCTTTTTTTTAGGAACTAGAAAATATTCAATTAAATTTGAATGTGCTTTGGTTGGTTTGTGGTGACTTTAATATCATTAGATGGCCAAGTGAATCTTCATCTTCTCCTTATATGTCTTCTTGTATGAGATTGTTTAAAGGTTTTATACAGCACCATGAATTGATTGAGATCTTCTTTCTATTAGGGCTAACTATACCTGGTCCAATCATAATTTTCAAGATCCCATTTTGACAAGGTTAGACATGTTTCTTGTTTCTTCTGAGTTTGTTACTTGTTTTCCAAATATAAGTGTGAAAGCCCTACTTAAAATCTCTTCTGATCATGTCCCTCTTTTCCTTAACACTGACGATTTCTTGTTTGGACCATCCACATTTAGATTTGAATTGACATGGCTATTGAGATATTTTTATTCAGTTTGATTAATGATTTATGGAAAAATACTACCATTGATAGTTCGAAAGGTTTCCAAATTTCAAAAAAGCTCCAGCTATTAAAACAAAATACTATTACATGGAAAATTACAATCTAAAATCAGGGCAGCAAAGTCTCATAAAGAGGAGTTAGATAATGTTCAGTTTATAGGAGGTGCTCTAACACAGGATCAATTCAGAGATAGAAGCTTATGGGTGGCTACGTATAAATAGTTGCTTAATTTGGAGGAAATTCATTAGAGACGAAGATCTCGTGTGAAATGGCTCGAGGAGGGTGATAAAAACACAAGATTCTTCCATGTTATCGTTAATGCAAGAAAAATTGATAACTCAATTCAAAGCCTCCGTATTGAAGGAGTAGACTGTGACAACATGTCAGAGATTGAAAGGGCCCTGGTTGATCATTTCAAGAAGTCTTACGAGGCCGATAGTGAGATTCAACTATCCAATCAAGATCTACCTTTCAATAGGTTGTCGGTAGAACAAGCTCAGTGGTTGGAGAGAAAATTTAAAGAGCAAGAAATCAGAGATGCAATCTTTGGCCTTGGCAGAGATAAGGCTCAATGGCCCGAATAGATACCCAATGACGTTTTTTCAATCTTTTTGTGATATTTTGAAAGATGATATTCTTCAATTGTTAGAAGAATTTTATTGGAGGGGTAAAATTAATATTTCCATGAATTCTACTTTTATTGCTTTAATCCCAAAGAAACATGTCATTGCGAACATCAAGGATATTCGGCATATTAGTCTTATTGGCAGTCTTTATAAAATCATTGCAAAGATTTTAGCTAATAGACTATGCCAGGTAATTCGCATGGTTATTACAAGACTATAATCAACATTCTTGAAGGATAGGTAAATTATATATAGTATTTTGGTTACACAAGAATATATCTATTCAAGAATCAAGGATGACAAACCAGA